TGGTTCTAATGTGCGTGGTAATTTGCATGTCTAATCAAAATGAAATGCAAACAAACTTTCCTGCTGGCTTGAACTTGCCCCTTTCTTGCTACCTTTTTGGTTTTGGCGACAACACCTTTTTTCAGCTGCAAGGGTGACGACAGGGCTGCAGAAGAGGGCAGCTGTGCTGTCTGCCTGTGGGCTGCGTGTTGATAACATCTAGTTTGGAGCTGGCCAGGATGCGATGGAGGAGATGGGAAAGGCGAGCAAAGCGCGTGTTCTGTGTCTCCCCTTGCTGTAGCCTGCCGAGAGACACTTGGCGATGGGATTGCACTGGTGTGCATCATTGCTGACACACAAACTTAAACTAGTCTTATTTACAAAGCTTTCCTATTAATCATGTTTCTAGCCACCGTTACAGAAGTAATGTCTGAACAGGCAGTGCAGCCATCCCATGGAAGCTGGGAAGACCCAGAGCTCCTGGATTTGAGCTCGGGCCCTGCCAGCGATGGGTTATGACAGTGAACAGGTTGCTCATCGCCCTGTCCGGTCTTTGCTGAATGAATACACACGCCTACTAATGACACCGAGCACTTGTGTAGTCCCACTGGAGGATCCAAAACTTTGCAGACTTTCTTTTGGCCTCCTTGAAACTGGAAGTGAGCAATAGCATGCTTCCTTGGGGGAAACTGAGGCACACAGGCTCCCTTTCGCTGTTGGGTCTTACCACGGGTAGGAGCCTGGGTTCTCTGACAAAGCATTGTGCTCCAGCAGTAAGAAATATGGCCTTACAGACAGTGTAGTGGGGTTTTTTTCTACAGTGCTCATGCAAAAGCAATGTGGACATGCCAAGTATTTCACTCGGTTGTGTAGCAGCTCCCTCGACTTCGACTGGAATGTCTAATCAATGGCTTCAAGCAGCCTCTTAAGGACTGCAATAAAAACTCTTGTTTCTAGAGAAGCAATCTCTTGGTGATAAGTGTGAATACGGCTCTTTGCAGCGGAGCGCAGGAGTGAGTAGGAGGGCAGATTGGGCAGTCAATCCACCAGCCCTTGCTAGCTCACGCTACTGAAGTGGTGGTTCTGTTGCTGCTTGTTTTCGATAGCTGACTTGGAGCAGCAAAACTGCCTGCGCTGAGGCTGGGCAGCAGCATGGCCTTGGCAGGGAAGAGCTGCTGCTGTTGTGAGCGTGTGAATTCACTGGGCACGTTAGAAGCAATAGGTACTCTGGTTTCCAAAAAGTAAATGGACTTCTCCAGGCTGTATGTGCTAGTTCCCTTCTTGTGATCTTTGCAATGGACATGGGCTTATTAACTGTGATAGCTGTTGCTGAATCTTGGGTTTGGAAGTCTAATTTTCTTTTCTTTTCCCCCTTGTCTAGCTAGCGTTCCCTCTGCTGCTGCTGTTGAGAAGACCTGCCGTCCCCGGCAGCCCCGTGTGCGGCGCACCTCTTCGCTAGACACCATCGTGGGCTCGTACCTGTTGGGACAGTGGCCGCGGGACACTGAAGGAGCTTCCACTTCGTGTATGAATGACAAAGCTACCCAGGTATAAACACCTGCAGACTGCCCTTGAAGTCTCTGGGCCAGGAGAGGGTTGCAGAACTGAAAGGAGCTGTGTAAACTGGGGGTGAATAGAGAAGGCATTAAATTTCCATCCGTCCAGCTGCAACTTTCTAGGAAGGCTTTTTTTCCCTTTTTGCTTTTCAGCTTCAATTGATTCCACTTTGGTGCAGTTAGAATTTCCTTGGCCTTGTTTGGAGGTAGATGGCCTCTGGCTTTCTGCTCCAGTACTGGCTCAGTGCTACTTCTTTTTTTTTTCTGGCTTGCAGTTCTGGGCCAAGTCCTTATATAACACTTGCGGGCTGCGTGCCACACACTGCGAGAAGTCAAGGGTGCTCCCACAAAAGGGCTCACCAGCACAAACAGCGCAGCCCTCTACTGTAGAATGGAAAAGCTCCAGACCTCGAGGAACTCTTAGCAACCTGTAAATATTACTGTATGGCAGCAAATAGTGCTTGCCTATCTGCAGAGGTGAAAGAATTTAGAAGGATAAGAGCATCCGTTTGTTTAACAAGTCATTTATTTAGCACATTCAATCTCTGTTAACTTGCTCTTTGCTATTCAACAATTTATTACTGGGCTGTTTGCAGGAAATTCTCAATTGGATTCCAACTTCCATTGTCCTTTTCCAAAGTGTTCTTGCCTGCTTTTGTTTCAGTTCTAGTGCCCCAGGAGCGCTGCTGAGGGCAGAGGGCATGCTGGAAAGGAAGGGAAAGAATTCGTCTAACTTTATTTCT